TTTGGCACTTAGTTTAGGAAGAAGCAGGGATTGCAGTTTGGCTGGAGCATCAGGCACAATGGCCCGGGTTCTAAGGGAAACAGACAAAGCCCCTGTGCAAGATTGGTCATGACCCGAACTACTTCCCCCACTCAGTGCACATCCCTTGTAATGTTACTTCAGTTTCCTCATTAAGTGGAAGTCTATCTGCCACCCCCTGGAATCTTGGCTTGTCTGGGGCTGGCTTTGGCCAGCAAAGTGTGGCAGAGGAATGATGTACAGTTCTGCCTATATCACAAGGGGCTTGCATCTTCTATTTGCTATTTTGGAAACTATCCAGCTGCCGGTAGAACAAACCCATCTGGGCTACCAGAGGAGGAGAGACATGTGACCCAGACCTTCCCCAAGGCCCCAGCAGAAGCCAGTCACTGCCCAGGAGGATACTTGGCTGACTTGTAGTTGATCACACACGTGAGATTATACCTGTGAGGGGGACCAGGTGAGACCCACAGGAACGTGCAACTGTGTTGTCAGTCCGCTGGGTGATGAGCTAACCGTGTGACGGTTCAGTGGCTATTTGGAGGTGGTTTGCTACTCCACCTGAGCTAACCAATACAGCTCCCAGACAGTAATTTGAAGAGGTTATGCCAAGCCAAGGAAGAAAGAACACTGGTCAAAATGATAAGATCAGATTCTAGTTCTTCTGTTGTAACCAGCTCGTTGTATGTCCTCACAGATGGCGAGCCACTTATTCTCAGCCTCAATGCCTGGAGGTGGGCCAGACAGTGGTTTTCAAGCTTCTCTGCACCTATGAATCACCTCAGATCTTGTTAAAAATAACCATTTATCCAAATTCTATCACACTGAAAAAAATCTATCCTTTTCTTTAGTTCCCTGGTGAGTCTGATTAGCTTGGCCAGCAGATATTTCAGACACCAGCGGCTGAGAATTACTATATGAGATCTTCAAGGTCCCTTCTGGGTGGAAAAAATCCTGTCCCTCAGTGAGTTTTGCTGTGGCTTCTGTTGTTTATTCCTGCTGCCACTACAGTGCCTCCATTTCTTCCTCCAAATTCTTCTTTCCGCCTGTCATCTCACCACTAGTGTTTGCCACTCCTCCCTTTCCATGCCTTCTGGGCCAGTCCTAACCCCACAGTCCAGAGAACTGTTTAAAGCTCACAAATCACAAGCCCAACTTTGTCACCAGCCATGAAAACGACTGGCAGTTCTGGTTTTCACACTAATTTCCAAACCTACTTCTTAGCTCTCCAAGAACTCTTGGTTATTACAGAAAAGGGTCATTGACTCTGATCTGTCTTTATCTCTCAATTTTAAAGGGAGACAACTTTGCTTTCTCACTTCCTTCAAATCGCTGGGTTGTGGTGCTTTGGGTTTTCTAATAAACAACTGCTAGTCTCCGCGTTCTTTGGTGGCCCTGTGTAGTGTCGGATCTTGCTAACGCTGCTGATTTCTTGGACTGTCTGAACCAGTGTTTCTAGAAGACCCTAGCCTTCTGCCCTTGACAATTATCATTTCTCATCTGGAATATTCTTCCTTTAAGCCCAAGTTGCCTGAGCTAGTTTCTCTTTGCTGAGGACTTCACTATAAATGGCAGGAGTTCCAACTCTCAAGTCAAATAATCAGTCTTTGTGACAAACCTTCTCTCATTTTGCTCAACCACACTGCGGGTGTCCGGGGAGGGCATTCACTGCATCCGTATTGTATAACCTGTTTCTATCTTAGGAAGACGTCTTGGGACATCACACAAAAGCTGTAAGGCAGCTGGCAGAACCCAAGTATTTCCCAGCTCAGGACATTGGCTGGGATGCAGGAGGCAGCCTCCTGGGGGTTGGGGGTGCCAGGCTCAGGAGTTGAATGCTGTTGCTGGGTGACCTGAAAGTGTGCCCCTGTCTGCTGATAAACACGGATCCCCCTGCCCTGGAGGAGTCAGCTTCTTCCAGCCACGGTAAGTAGCAAACCTGGATGATTTGCAGATAGGTATTAAGTTTTATGTAGGATTTAAAAACCATCGAGGGTCAGTAAAGTTAATCGAACTTTTCTATGACGAAGCTAGAGTGACTTCTTAGACCATGAGCATGGGACACAGTACTCGGAGACAGGCAGCCACTCACTGTGTACTCAGCCGGCAATGGGAAAATGACCTGCTAGCGGTTTCCTTCCTTTTAAACACAATGCCATCTCGGTAAAAAAGTTAGCCTTTTTCATACTTTAAAATAAAAACCTGGATTCCTTCATTGTTCACCTGAGCGTTAGCTGCCCATCTACAGCTGGATCGGTCCTTGTGGCAGTTTCCAGAGGAGCCGGCTTAGTTACCGCCCAGGCAGTTTTCTCCATGGGGACGCATGTTCATCCCGGTGACTTTTGGGTTCTGTCCTCCTCATGCCCACAAGCTCTGCAGTGACGTCCTGTGCGATCTGAGGGTGGACTTGTGGCCCCAAGGTCAGCCCTGCTCTGCATTGGGAATACCAGGTGCCCACCGGCCAGTGACACAGGTGATTCACTCCATCTCTGGACTCTCGTGTTCCTTATTAACAGCCAGGGTATAGCACAGATGCTCCCTGGGGTGACGTGAACATGTTTCTGACGATAGCCCTCGTCCTGCAGTAGCCTGTGAGGCGCTTAGAGTGACCATCCAGAGTTCTACGCTGATGGAGTGGGGCTGGCTCCCTGCCCGCTTGCCAGGGCTCGGTATCATTTCTCACCTCAGAAGGAAGCACTAAGATCACTTGCTTTTCGATTCAAAAGAATTACAATGCTAAGTCACGTTACTTGTTCATATTCCAAATGCTGTCATGTGCCTCAGCACGAATGTGCTCGCTTATGGACACTAGGAATCCTCACTGGCAAGCAGGGCACTGGGGGTTTTGTTGACAGAAAAGGAAAATAAGGCCTCAGTGTTGAGTCACACACACAGAGTCCCGGGGTCAGTGTCGGTAAAACTGTAACATCAGAGACCACTGCATTCCACACTAGACCCTGCTACATCACCAACCCGTACTGCGGAGCAACGGCCATGCCCAGTGCCACTGTTTTTTTAGTTTGTTCCACATAGATATTTCCCTGAACTCAGCTACAGTAAGTAAGCAATCCTAACCACCCATCTGTTCTCACGTTTTTTTTTCTCCAGAAGTTGGGAGTAGGGAAAACATAGGAAAATCCCCGCAAAAGGAACACAGCCATTCCGCATCAGGCCACACTGTTCCTTGGCCAAATGCAGGGGCTTCTTTCTGTCAACCTGGTGGGTAGAACACACCGTGAGTCAGGCACAAAGGGCTTGGTGGTGAGAAGCGAGCTGTGTGAATCTGTACTGACCCTCACGCAGGGAAGGAACTGGCTTCGAGACCAGAGAGAAGGGCCCAGAACCCCCCCAAGAGGTACATTTTATTTTTCTGCAGCCACCACAAAAGCTTTGCAGCCAGCCTGGCTGCCTCAGGTGCCCAGGGCCTCTCCAGGAGAGATTCACTTTGGCTGTGGCAGGCTTGGTCATGGACCCATCCCAGATGACCGTCCTGGGTGCTTGTGCCTCTGTGCAGCCCTCCTCAGTCCACAAGGGACCTCTCCCCTCCTCACAACCAAGCAGAAAATGGATGCTACACAGGCGTGAATGCCTTTTCCATTTATAAATCTCCTCGCACCCTTAGCAGTTCAGCCTCTACTACATCGCAAGTCCTAATAAAGCCTTTTGGGGTGGCATATGTCTTAGTTACTTTCTCATCACTGAGACTCTGTACCCAACACCCACAGATAGAGCAGGAAAGGTTTATATTGGCTCAGAGATTGTAGCGGCTTCAGGCCATAGTCAGCTGCTCCAAGGCAAGGTGGCACCGTACAGAAGAAACAGCTCATGGCATGGTGGCAGGAAGCAGAGTGATCAAGGAGGGAGGAGGGAGATGAAGCGTCCAGGCCACGCCCCTCCTCAGACCAGGCTTCACCCCCCATGTCATGTTTATTTGTAAACTCATCAGTGGATGGGTCTACTGATAAGCATCGGGGCACCTTGCTCCAATCACCACCCAAAGCCCCACCTATGAGAACACGAGGCTTTGGGGGGGTCATCTAGATGTAAACCATAACTTCAGATTTCTGCCTAGTATGATTTCTGTGCTGAGGTGATAACACGAAAGGCCACTGGTGCCAAAAGCCCCCAGCACCTGGGGCTGCTAAACCTGAAAGTGACTAGCAGCAATGAAGAACAGGGAAGAGCCTCCATCTCTGGGGCCTGACGCCAGTAACTCTGAGCAGCAAGGGGGGCTGCTAACACTAAAAGAGCTGGTAGCCAGCGTAATTCAGAGCCCAGAACTATTAACACTAAAGAGCTATAGCTTGTTAGCTTTGTGATTTCTACATGAATTGTACAAGAACCCTCAGATGATTGGTAACACATCAGAAGCTGGTACAGTGGTCCTTTTCTTTAGTGGTCCCCCAAGAAGAGAGGAGTTGGCACGGGCTCAAAAACCAGCCTGTGTTTGATTTCTGTCTTATGTGCAGCTTAGAACTTAAGCTAGTCAAGAATTTGAAGGGTTCTTCAGATCAGTGGCTGCAGGCTTGAGGGCCACTGATGCTTTATCACCGGGACTTTATCTTTAAAGTTGTCTCTCCTTTAGTCAACTACCACGAAGAAAACTCATGGAAAATGTTAGAGACAGTCTGTGTTCTTGGGGTAACACAGCCAAAGGAATTGTAATGTGAACCATGCACACAATTTTACAATTTCGAGCCATCATGTTTTAATTTTTATGTATTTTTCTTGTACCAGGAATCGAACTCAGGACCTTGCACATGTGAAGAAGTGGGCACCGTGCCACTGAGCTAAATCCCCAGCCCACCGTAACCGTCACATTTTTTTTGTTTTGTTTTTTGAGACAGAGTCTCACTATGTAGTTGAGACTCAACTGGAACTCACTATGTAGCCCAGGCTCGTCTCGAACTCACAGCGATCCTCCTGCCTCAGCCTCCGAGTGCTGGGATTATAAGCATGCACCATCACGTCCGGCCGCCATTACATTTTTAAAAGGAAAAAATACTGGGTAAGATTAATAATATTTTTACTTAACCCAAGATATATAAAAAGCTATTTCAATATGCCACCCACACAAATATTATTATCATAGCCATTGTTATTATTTGGGTAATTGGGATTGAACCTAGAACCTCATTTGTGCTAGGCATGTGGGCTATCACTGAGCTACACATCCAGGACCCCCAAAGCTACAGAGACATTTTGCCTTATTTTTGGTACTCAGTCTTTGATATTTAGTGTATCTCCTAAACTTTCAACACACCTCTCACTCGGACTAGGCAGTTTCAGGGCCTCAGCAGGCGCCTCGTGCTGCCATGCTGGATGGAGACTGACCTCTTCTCTCCAGGGTCTCCCCAAGGGACACCTGGGCGCGCTCAGTCCTGGACAGGACCGCTGCCCACTGCTGGACTGTGTGTGCAGGGAGCCGCGGCAGGCCCCCGTGCGGGCCGCAGCTCGGGCTCCAGTTTCCAGCAGGCCTCCTTCCTTACCCCACCTGAAACGTGAGCGCCACGCCGGGCTCGCAGCGCGCATGAATTGCCCTTTCTTCTCCACAGCACACAGAAACCGTTTCCCTGGCTCCTTTTACTCCCTCGCAGCATTACAGCGGCCTGCAGAGGGAGAGCGTACAAGGCGCCCTCTGTGTTCCCGCTTAGAGATCTACAATGTACCTGCTTGAGATAAAAGTCCTACCCTGCAAAGCCACATTTTTGTCCCTCTTCTTCCTTTTCCATATTTACAGAGCCAACAGTCAGACCTTCACTTTCAACATTTAACCTTACAAAATATGAGCAGGTTTCAGTTCGGGAGGTGGATTTGAGAAATTCCCGGCTGCCCGCCAGGGTTTTGGCTTTGTGCAAGGCAGGCTGAGATCTGCTCACTGCTTCCGAAGGCTCAGCGACCCCCGTACGATGCCCCCTGCCAATTTGATGAGCTTGTGTTCTCTCCCAGTTCTCACTAAAACAATTTCCAGACCTCGGGAGAGGAGTACTGTGAGCAGACAGGCTCGGCGACGCTACCCTGTACTTAGGTCGTTCTCAGAGAGGACCCCTCCCACGGATGGATGTCAAAGCCGTCTCCCAGCAAGACTGCGGCCAATATTCTCTCAAGAGAAAGCCAAGGCCCCTCCCTCACCTCAGGCGACCTGTTCCCAGGAGAACTGCAGAATGCCGGCCGAAAGTCAGAGGCAACTTTGTTCTCTTCTTTTAAACCTGGAAGCCTTACATTTGCAGAAAAAAAATCAAAAGATTTTTTTAAAAACATACCTTAGGTACACCTTAAAAAGCAACTCTGAAAACAAAGCAGCCCTGGGGAAGGCCTCGGACACAGCTTTGTGGGGGCTCCTTACCAGGGACCCAGGACCAGGGATGCCATTACTGGGGGGATGGGAACTTTTACTTTTGGAGGAACCTCTGTGTTGCTGGAATTAGCTTTCCCCTGAAGGAAACGGCTTCCCTCCTGCTCCTGCCTACATGGACGGCCAGGGACAGCCCTGCCTGGAAGCTGAACGTGGAGAACCCAAGACCAATTCCACTCAGCACGCGAGTGTTGGCTCCCCAATTTCCCACCCACGACACGGAGCACGGGTGGCGCAGAGAAAAGCACCAAGGAGACCAAGCGGAAGTCTTATTTTTAGTTTTCAGTGACAATTATCCCCTGCATCTCTAGCTCTGGAGTCGGCAGATTGTAACAGAAGGCAGACTTTGGCCAATGGTCTATTTTTCATTTGTTGTTGTTTATTGTATTGTTCAATTTAAACAGCTACATTCGCAGCCCAGCCTCAGTGCACCACTCAGGCGATAATGTCCACGTTATCACCCCCAAGAACTCTTCCCATCTTGCAAAGCCGCGACTCCCTGTCCGCCACAATAACACTCATTCTCTGCTCCTCCTACCACTTACCGAGCCAGGACTGCTACTCTCCTTTCCGGGCTTGTTTGGTGCTGGGAATTAAACCCACTGCCTTCACACTAAGCTACATCACAACCTTTCACTTATTTACTTATTTATCCATTTATTTATTTTATTTTGAAACAGAGTCTCAGTCACTGAGTTGCTGAGGCTGGGCTCGAATATATAACCCTCCCGCCTCCCTCTTCAGAGCTCTGGGGCTGCAGGTGTGCGCCGTCTCTCCTTTCTGTCTCCATGATGGTGACTGTGCCAGACTCTTCGAATAAGTAGAATTTACAGTCTGTACCTTTTTTTCCATTACTGGTTTATATCACTGAGCAGAAGTCCTAAGATCCATCCGTGGTAGCCTGTGCCAGCTCCCCTCCTTTCTGGGGCAGCATGTAGTGTCCCCATGTGCGTCCTATTTTGATCATCCCTTGCTCTGGTAATGGGCGCTTGGCTTGGCCTCATCTTTTGGCTTCTGTGAGCAAACGTGGGTGTGATGTGCTGTAGTGGGATTACTGCTACAGGTATCTTTCAAGACTCCGCTTTTAATTCTTTTGAATATACACTGAACTGTGGAATTCTGAATCACGTAAGTATTTTTCATTTTGCGGAGAGCCATATCACTGTTATCAGAGACTATTTTACGTTCCCACCATGTGCAAAGCTTCCATTTTCTCTATCTCCTTGCCAACGTTTTTGATTTTCTGTGTTTTCGATGATAGCAATCCTAAGGAGTGTGAGGGGAGAGCTCACTGTGGTTTTGATTTGTATTTTCCTAATGATGAGTGATCGTGAGCATTTTTCATGTGCTCTTTGGCTGTTTGTTTGTCTTTCCTGCAAAATGTCTGCTCATGTCCTCTGCCCAGTTTCTAATCAGATTGTTGGAACAGCCAGTTTTGTAAGTGAAGTCTTATGGAAACATACATCTGTCCAATTACATACATGTCAGCTGCGGCTGCTTTCCATGTTACAGTGGCAAAGCCTGATGCAGCCCAGAAGCCTAAAATATCTGCTATATCTTCTTTCACAGAGAAAGTCAGCACCCCTTTAGATAACCAGGAATCGGTTATGGACGTGCCCTTCCTTTGGTTTAAATGAATATCTGTACACATAATCAGAGCACACATGTACTCTTGTAGTGATGATTTTCCCATAAGTTAACGCACTGTGCCAGGGCACGGGGCTTAGAAAGGAGGAAAGCAAGACTGGCCTTCTTGATCCTAGCCAGCTCTCCTGGCCCATGGCAGTGATTCCGGGCCACTGCTGTTCTCTTCAGACTCTCACCGCAAACATTTTCGGGTACTGGTCTTGCCCTCCACTTAAGGTGAAAAAGATACAGCATGAAGTGAGTTTCTTCCAGCTCCTTCTAAACTCGACGGAATTGCTCCTGTCCTTGGTTTCTGTGCAGAGGGGCTCTTCCTTCCCTCTCGCCCACAATCCCATCTCTTCCCACCCCTTCTGGCAGCCCCATCAGCTGATGCTACCCGGAGATGTTCGGCATTCCCATTTTTAGGGTCACTCTCCTGTGCTTGCAAACAATGCTACACACTGAATTTATCTCTCTCTGTATCACCTAGATGGAAATATACTGGCGTATGAATACACACGTACATTCTTGTGGGTCCACTTACTGCTCATGTAAAGACACCTACGGGGTTTTCCAGAGTACTGTGTGGCCATCTGCTTACGAAGATACATCTTCTTTCTTGCCCTGCAGTCTCGTTTCTAGACACGGCCCTTTCACAGCAGTCTTCCCACGGAACACCATTGTTCCTCTTTGTGCTTCTCAAAATATTTCCTTCCTGTGAAATAGTTGTTACCTATGGGAACGTACATTGTAACGTTTGCGGTGAAAATGTCACCTCCCTGCTCCTTCTGGAAGTAGGCATTTCAGCTGTCCTGTTTCTTCTAGGCTTGCCTTTGTGCAAACATCTCCAAATTATATGTTTCCACCTTGCAAAGCACACGGAAGTCACATGTTCAAACTTCTCGGGTAGAGGGATTTTCAGTCTCCTGCCTGGCTGACTCACATGCACTTTCCTCCCACACCCTTTCACGATATAGCATACATTTTGATATAAACTCAGAATTCCCAGCAATACAGAAATAAGTGAATTCTTCTTGTCACTGAGCCAGGTTTTTTTATTGGGAGCTACATTTCCTTTTTTGAACAACTTTTTACTAGCGTTAATAGTCACCATAACTCTCAAGGTATTTACTCTCCTTTGTGTCAGTCCGTGATTCAGTCCTAAACTCTTTGCCAGGAGCTAAAACATCATCTCGACATATTCACGCTTGTCAGGTAACTCATCTGTTTCGTTTATGTTCTTGGACTCTTGTCTTCTTGAATCCCTGTCTCCTCATCTGATTTTTTCATTCGGGAAGAGGGAAGAAGTGGTCAGGAAAAGACATGCAGAGGCAGACTGCATCCATCACTCTGGCATTTGGAGGGAAGAGAAAATGCTTTTCTCCAGATGTCACCCTGAGTGGCTTGTTTTTAAAAAATCACCTCAGTTTATTTCCTATGTCAAGGTATTGCGTGTCGGAGTACATAGCTTAAGGTTTTCAGTCGAATTAGCCCGTTTTACAATTGCAGAAACACTTAGGAAGCGTAGTCCCTTCCGCTGACCCACGATGGGGTGAAGACTGCCCCGCTAGGATGGCGACGACCCCACAGAGACGGTGAACAGATCATAGCTGTTGTGACCTTGCAGAGGACACGGAAAACGCGGGACAGGAACCACCGGCAGCGGCAGCCTCTTTTCTTTCCTCTGTCTTTTCTGAAGCTCCGAGAAGAGGTGTGCATCTCCCGTGGAACACAGACGTGTGTATTTTCCATTTCTTCCGCACTCACTGCACCCGCACTGCCTCCTTCATCAGCGGACCTGCCCGTGGGGTCGGACGGACGGGGTCGGGGGGCTCCCAGATCCTCACGGCCAGTGCTCAGGGGCCTGGGAGGTCCGGTTCCAGAGTCCCAGGCCTCGCTTGTGGGAGCTGCTCCTTATCTTAACAGTGAGAAGGGGTGTGGTACCGCTGAGAGTCAAGGTGCTGAGGAGGACACTGGAGCTGTGTTGAAGAAAAGACGCCAGGTCTGCTGCGAGCATCGGATCACCGAGCACTGCCGGGCTCATTCGCTGAATGTAGCTGAGTAGACTCCATCATGTTACCCAGCGACCAGCGCATTTCTCTCCTCGAAGGAGGCAGGAAGAACAGTCATACGAGTATTGGTTACAAGGTTCTGCAAATCGGAGCCAGTTTTTCTCTCTGTTTTCATCCGTGGACCCAGTGGGTGTTCCAAGATATCAGACTTTGTGGTCTTTCCCTCACCTGGCCAAGTCTTCCCTGTGCTTTTGCAAATGCGGTTTCACAGCATGAAAGCCCTCATCCGCATGTTCGCCCTGCACGCAGACTCACGTTCAGGACATCAGACACGGCCGTTTGAGGGTGTATCATGGCTCCCCCAGAGGATTTCCTTCTCTTTCTTGTGGTTCACAGGATAAAAGTTGTCCTGCCTCCACTGTGCCTATCCCAGCACTGTCTGCATGAAGGTCTAGCACAATGCTGGGCCCTCTTTAACTAATGAGCAGTTAAATCAGTGGGTGGTTATATGGAGGTTGTCCTTATGTAATCTTCCTCTGCAGATAATTCTCCAGAACGACTTTCCCCAAACAAGAAACTGTTCCCCAAACTGTCCCTTCTATGGTTCACCTTCTCCTATCTTTATTTTTTGTTATTTATTTTTAAATATTTCACAATGGAAAGTGGTTGACTATTAATTTCTGGCTATTTTTATTGTACCCAACTGAGTGCATATATTCTATTCCACTACTTTGTTATTCTTTTCCAATATTCAACATACATATTACTCATAAAAATGTGACTTCCTGCTTTATTTCCAATGTAACACATGAGGGTTCCATAAAATCTAGCAGGGAAAATGAAATGTGCAGACAGATTTTATCTGTTCGTGTGGCTCCCCACTGCCGATTCCTATCATGTAATTCTACTTAGCACTTCTGGGCCATTTCCTTCTAAGTCCTTTCCAAGCATTACCTCAGTGGTGTAGGATAGGTGAAGGATGGGCCGCCAGGAACTTGAGCTGTAAATGCAGAACGGTTAAACACAGTTCTGAGGAAATGAGATTTTAGGGTTGGAAAAGAAATATGGTGCTGACACCAATGCCCTGTCTCACTTCACACAAACACCCTCCCTCTCCTCCAACCTGTCCTCCATAAGGGCAAGGGGAAGGGAGACCGAGAAGTGGTTTTCCCGAGATTATGAAAACCTATAATCCCCAGTATGCAGCCACATTAAATATCATTTATTTTCCTAGCTTGTCAAAAAAGAACTGCCATCACTTCATAATCAGGACACAGTAGACCACAACTGGAGAAGCCCATCCTGGTTCAAAACATGCATTCTTTTAAGTAAGTGGAAGAATAGCTCTTGCTGTTTGCTAATTGCCTACTGAGTGCCAGGCATCCTAGGAACACCACCTTTACCCCTTTCACAGCACTCAGAACAAGGTGAGGAATCTTCAGCATTAAAGTGTTTTCCCAGTCTGTCTCCCTGATCCCCTGTAGCTGCCATGTAGGAGGATCCTCTACATGAGGGCATCTCACATTAGGACGTCTTTTAAGAAATGCCACAGGATACAGGCAAAGGCCAGAGGCACCAGAAGAAATTATGCCAACCAAGTGAGTCTCTTCCCAAAAGGATCCGGAATGCTGGGAACACAGTTGGACGACGGTGAGTGGGTTTTGGTTAAGGCCTGGTGTTGCCGGCCCATCCTCGAAGCTCTTCTAGGTGCAGCCTGGTGCCCCATAAGCGCTGTCGTTATATTTTTGACTGAATTATTTCACTAGGAATGTAACATTTTCTGTTTTCTTTTCAATGATGATATGAAAAGTGGAACATTCTAGCTAGCCTGAGATTTTTGTCCCATGCCTTTGCATTAGTGTTTAGCGTGGTGCTAAACACTAGTGTGTAGTGTGGCAACTGCGCATGCTGACCTAAGGAGCAAGCACCGTTACCGCACTGAGCACAAGCACAGTCTCGGTGTCCCCACCTCCTGTAGCCAGCAGGGGACCTTGTGCTCCTGTGCTGTGGCCCTCAGGACCGTGAGTCTGGCCAGGGATTCCACGTTCCGCAGAGAACATTGCCTGTCATCTTAATGCTCATTATTTGGCTTTGACAGGGTCTGCCTTTTAGTTTTATAACTGTATAAAAACCATAAGCAATATTTAATTCCGTATGCACCCATATTTCGATATTATAGTGAAGTGTTTTGAGTCAAACATTGAAGATGTATCAAAATCTTTTAAAAAAGAGTATATTACAGAAATCCAATCTAAAAATCATATTGAATATTATGAAATATCATCATATAAATATTTAAAACACTCTAGCAGATAAAGCCAGGACAGAGCCTGGTATGACATGTACCTTAAACTGTTCAGTCAGATTTTGAATATATGGTCAGTCAGGTAAAACTATACCTAGTGAAGGCATTGCCCACAAGTAAGTGCCTCTTACCTACGTGGTGTAGTCACAGATTGCCCGCCGTTTATCAGTGTCTTTGGTGTTCTCCTCACCTGCCAGTCCACTGGACCTATTCGCACTTCTCCCACCAGGCTTTGACTAAGAGTCCACGGGCTCCAGACGCTGTCCAGGGATCTGGCAGACCAGTCTTGGCCTTGCTGCAGTGCTCCTGGGCTTCTTGTCCTTCTGCAGCTGACGCTATTTACTCAGTTGGATGAAGATCTTATCATTGCTCAATCAGGCAACAGAAATGAGAGGCATGTGAGTCCTGCCTTTCTGGAATTATGAACTCCACTTACAACAGAATTACCCTTAAAGTTAATTTTCCCTTTTAAAAAAATTTTAAAGGAGGGGCATATGCTTTGCTCAGTATTCTAGAACCTTAATCATTTCTGTGATTTCTTGAACAGACAAAAAAAATGGTAATAGGTATTCTGATTTTATGTCTTACATTTCTCTGAGTCCTCTTGAAATATAGTTCACTATGACTGGGACACTTCCTTGGACTTTGGTTTCCTCTTTATAATATTTGTCCTATCTTCTCTGAAAATCAGCATTTCCATCATTTAGGAAAAAGAGGGCTAGATAACAATATCTCTGTTTACCTTCACACCTAAAGGGTTATATTAAGAATGAATGTGTATTACATACAGATGTGAAAAAAATTATCAGATGTAAAGGAAATGTCCAGAATTGACTGTGGAGTAGTATAAACATGAATTTAACAAGGAATGGTATAATACAGTGTGAGGATCAGATTAATGTCTGGCTGAGTCAGGAGTGCTGCACCCATCTCTCCTGAGAAAACTCTGAGGCCTATTAGGGCTGGAATAATCCTCCCCCTCGGGTGTGTAGAGATCTGACCTTAGACAGATGAACTGTTCCTCTCAAAAACCTCTAAAGTCCCGACTCCATTTGTCTCAGCCCCTAAAGCATACAATCCAAAAGTTAACATGTGGCCAATAACAATGGGCCGAATATCCCGACTCCACCCTGGCTCCACCCCCACCTTACCCCATATAAGCCTGTGCATTTCCTGAATAAAGTAAGCTTTCCAGAAATCTCCCCAGTCTGTGTGGTGATTGCCTTGCCCTTCCAGGCTGGGCCCCTGAACCTTGCTCCCAGAGCGGGCTCGTGGACGAAAACAATTGGCACCTGAACAGGGGACTGGCGTATACTGGATAAATACTGAAGTTTTGGGTAAGGATCCCTGTTGGGAGCCAGTCATAGCCCACTGGCTTTTTGAAAGATAACTTCTTTCTTTATAATCAAGGCATTGACACAATGTGTGGTCAGGATGTTCCTAATTAGCATTTGTTAACATTTGTTCCTTTTTAAGGACTGCACGTGTTAAACTTGTTTTTGACCCTGCACGGGAGAAACTCGGATAGTCAAAGATCGGTAGGAGTCAGGTGTTTCCTGTTGATGTGCCTTTAAAAGGCTGATGCTTGCCTGCAATAAGCGTCGCCTTGATCAGACTCTTGCGTTGGCGTCCTTCCTTTCTCTCTGCCCCATCTCCACCCCGCTGCTCTTTCAGGTTTGAGACATTGCTGGACAGTGCTCTGCGTCGCTGGTTCGCGACAGATCCCTATTATGGGTAATGTCATGAATAAGGAAAGGCGGGTACAGGCCGCCTTAGTAAAGACCCTACTAAAAACAAGGGGCATAAAGCTCTCTAAAGATCGCCTCATGGGTTTTTGGGAGCCTGTCCTCAAGTCTTCCTCGTGGATGGAGCGTGCAGATGTGATGGACTTGGAGATTTGGGAGCCCGAGACAAGTAATGTCCAGTGCACCAAGAAACAAAAAGAGATTTCGTCTCCCACTAGATTTTTTCCCCCATTGCTTCAGGGATTGTTCAATGTCTAGAGACCACCGCCGAAAGAGAAATGGCGGCCTTCCCTGCACAGGTGGCGACAGGTTGAAAAGCTCCAGGTGAGTCAAAAAATGGCGGACAGGGGGTTGATGAAAAAGATGGCGCCGATGGCCTTTCTTTTCCGGGTTCTTCCTCCCCAAAGGCGTCAGCCCTGCCCGCTGGTCTCTCACTTCCTGTTGATGAAGCGCTCCGCTAAAACCCCCCTCGTCACGGGATGGTGGTCATCCGGAAGAGCCTACCTTTTCTTGGTCCAAGGTGGCGGCCTCCATCCTGTGTGCTGCCACCTTACTTGGTGGACGAGGAGAAACAATCCTTTGATCGGGCCTTAGCCTGGCTTCTGGGTCCTCAGACTCCGGGCCACCCAGCCTCCTCCTCCAAAGCCCAGCCCGGTGTAGCTGAAAGCTCGGGAAAAGTTGTGGAGCGAAGACCTGCAGCTTCGGGGCGCCGGGGCCTGCTGAGCTGGGAGGGGAGCCTGGTTGGGGCCGAGTCCGACAGCTACGTGGTGGCCGAAGGTCCTTTTGTCTTCCCCGGTCTCTGCTGTCCCTGCCGCCCACCTTGGATCCCATTGCCCCGGCTGCTTGGCCCCGCGCCCCGGGGCGCATTAAGGCCCAGCGGGGCTGAGTGGTGGTGGTGGTGGGGTTGCTGCGCGCCCAGGAACAGCCTTCTTGCCGCAGAGCCTTCGACCTCTACTGCGTCCTGGACAAATCCACAAGTACCTAACCCTCCTATCTCTATCTTGTTCTGCCTTCCCCTTTCATGTTCGTTTTACCCCTTGTATTGAACCTTCTTTGTTAATCATACAGAAACTTGGAGTTTATATTTTGCTAGAACACCCCCGGCCATTTGGGTCCCCGTTGATCTCCATACGGAAGGACAAAAATTCAGATCCTCTCTTTAATGTTATGCTTCATCCCCGCAGTAAGAAAGATTTTGAGATTTCCGCCCTTATTGCTGTCATCGTTTCCATGGTGGCAGCTATTTCCAACAGCAACAGTCACAATAAAGTGAATATACTTAATTCCACTGAACTGTTTACTTGCAAACAGTTGAGATGGTAAATTCTGAATTATGTGTCACAGTTGTCATGTATCTTTAAAAGAGGCAATAAAGTACATATTTAAATGCAGAGGGGCCTGTTTCACATATATTTATTTAATTTGGAAATGCCTTTTTTTCTATCTAGTAAGTTGGACATAAAAATTGGAAATATAAAAGCAAAATTCTTTCTTTACAGATGATATAAACATGCCCAGAAAACCCAGAGGATCCAGTAAAAAATTATTAGAAATGCAAGATGTCTGGTAAGAGAATTGATCGTTTTAAATATAGAATATTCTTGTAAGCACAATATATAATGAAATACCAATCTTATATAACTTTAAAAATAAAATATGTAGAAATAAAATTAAGAGAACTTACAGAATATGAGTGAAGGAAAAACTTAAAACTTTACACAAGACATAAAATTGATTTCAATATTTGGAAAGACCACACTTCTGAATACGAAAGACTGAAAGTGTAAAACTGTTGTCTCGAAAATATCTATAAACTTAATATACTCCTTTTATGAAAGTAGCTAAATTGATTCTAAAGTATATATCAAAGATATATTTGTGAGAATATAAAAATTTTCTTTTAAAAAAATTTAAGAGTAAATTGAAACCTAGTATTAAAATGTATTTTAAAAACTAAAATAATTTTAAAAGGTTGGTCTTTTTACAGTTACAACCAAAGGAATGGAAAGAAATACAATTGAAAAAATAGAGCCAAATGTGAACATGAAGTTTATATTAATAAAGTGTATTCAGATGTATTTTTTAAAAAATTACATAAGGCAAGAGCAAGGTCCTGAGTTTGAGCCCCAGTACCCCCCCCCCAAAATTATGTAAGGGCCTTGGTTAGTCCTTTGGGAAAAAATTAAGACTTCTGATATAAAATAAGCTCTTCAGAGCTCAACAACTTAAAATAACTTAGTACTTAATTAAATAAGGGTACCAGTTGAAAATATGAGAAATGATACTTATAAGAGTATAGTGGAAATATTTTAAAAATAAACACCCAGTGCTCACTTCAGTAGCACATATGCTAAAATAAATACCCAAGGATCTGAAACAACAAAGAAATAGTTAACAGGACCATATAAAAATGAAGCACTTCTGCTGAGAAGCGCCACAGATAGCATCGATAGAAAATTCAAAAGCTGAAGTTCTTAGGAGAGAAAGAGCTCTGAGTTAATTAGGAAAAGAATAACAACCAGGTAACAAATGACAAAGCATTGAATCAGTTCATCAAGAAGAGAAGAAAGGGAGGAGAGAAACATAGCGTATACATTTTAATAGGTTATTGTGACCCTGATAGTAATACAAATTTTTAAAAAATGATTTGTCATTTCACACACCAGTTAGGCAAGGATCTGGTATTTTGTGTTTAGTAAGAGTTTAGGGAAATGGCCACATTTATCCATGTATAGACAAAATGTGAATTGCATGCTTATTGTGTAGTTGACTTTGTTTGAAGGGATTCATGTACTAAATATTTGAAATGAGTGTGTTAGTTGTTTTTCTCTCATTGCTGAGACAAAGCACCTGACTCCCAAGATTAAGGGGAGAACGGTTTATTTGGTTTACATAGAGGATTCAGTCCATAATCAGCTGCTCCAAGACAAGTTGGCGGAGGGACAGCAGATTGTGGTGGCCACAAGGTAACAAAGCAACAAGAGACCTTAACAGCGTCTTTCTGCTCCTTTTATCTTAATCAGAGGACTGTGATTAGGGTGGTGCCAAACCAGAAAGTGTATTGGCTTAGTAGCCATATACCCTCAATCCCAGCATCACATACTATAAATTCAGCCGCAGCATGAGGCTTTGGGGGGACATCTAGACCTGAGCCATAACTTTCCACCCCTGGACCCCCAAAGACTCATGCACATCCCTTTATATAAATAGGTATTTAGTCCATCTCCAAGAGTTGCAAAGTCTTAAGTTTAGGCATTGCTGCAAAGTTGAAATCCAAATACTCCTCTGAAATTTAAGGCAAACTCTTAGCTATGAGCCCTGTACAAAATGAAAAGAAAGTTAAACACTTCAACATGCAGTGGCACAAGTTAGACGTTACCATTCCAAAAGTTACAAACAGGGATGCAAAGGAATAGGACCAAGGCAAGTCCAAATCCAGCAGGGCAAACGTTAAAGCCTGTAGTTCCATCCAGCATCCCAGGCAGTCTGTGGCAACTGGTGAACTCCAGAGGGCTGGGGCACTGCCCATGGTTAGCTCTTACAGCTTCTCTCTTGAGCCAGTTCTGCTCCCTTGCAGTTTTCCTCAGAGAATCCATGCTTCTGGCTTCTCCAACCTTCTGGGGTCTCCACTGCACCTTCAGCTTCCACACCCACCTCTTCACACACTGCCTTCTCAGGGGCACACT